GTGTGTGTGTGTGTGTGTGTGTGTGTGTGTGTGTGCGTGTGTGTGTGCGTGTGGGTGTGTGTGTATACTTGTATATATATATATATATATATATATATGAGAGAGCGACATATTCCAAAGAAAAGTATTGGTAGTGCTTATATGATGGTGACAATGGCCTTTATGTATCTAAATACCTATTCGCAACAGTTTACAAAAGGATATAAAACTGTGTATAGTAACAGGCATTTGTAAACTTTTAGCTAAAATGTAGTAAATAGTGATACCGCGGAGTACATCGTTTCGTAGATTCCTTTCTTCTCAAGGGCAGTTATAGTGAGAATCGATTTGTACCTTCATTACATAGCCATCCGTCATGGTAAAGCTGTTGAAGGTTGTTGTTATATTCAAAGTTACTTGTGGTTGTGACTATTATTCAATCGTATTTGGTCTTGAACCAGTATTTATATCAACGCTATATGTATTTCAATAGTATTAGAAAAATACACACAACAGGGTACAGGATGGTGTGTGCATATCGGAACTTCTGAAATCTGAGGTGCGTTTATTTTCCTTTCTTGTGCCAAATTCGGAATTCCAATACCCTTCTTTGGCAGAAACATGCATGACGTAACATATTTATACATAGGCTTTTGAAATTTTCAAACTGCGTTTTCATTAGTGGAATTTCAAAATATTTGTTCAATACAGTATGACGTGATTACATCATATCCAAATTTAAATTGGCATAGAGGCGTCCCCATTACGTATTAAAAGGTACAACGTGCTGAAATTTACACTCAACGTTTACCTTTGTTTGGCCCTATATGTTTGGTAGAGTTGCAATGTATAGACTCTGAGGAGCAATAAATTGGGCGTTTATACCAATATAGTTCGATTATTTGCAGTGTTAGGTCTTACTTTCTTCTATCCCACTTTTACGTTACGACGTTTGTATTTATACCAATACTTTTTACATCCGTTAAACGTATACGCTGGAATTGAGGTCTACTTTCCGTGATGTCATATTTACAGTTTCATGACATCTGACACGCCATCAACGACCAATCAAAACATGTACACAGTGAGAAATAGATACGGTATTGGTACTGGTTATTTTGATATATGCTCTATGAGGCACACTACAACGAGTGTAAGAGATGCTATGCGAGTATGCTGCGTTTACGTATGTATGTGAGCAGTGAGTGTGTACACACTCGCACTCGCACAAGTGCAATCAATAAATGTATTGAACTGAGATTTAAACACGGAACACGTCGTATTATATTTGATACCTTCACTACCTGTAATACCTCCGCACCTCAAGTAAGAACAGGGGAACAAATCAATATCTGGCACTATGACAGTAGCATCATCTGATATCACACAGCCGAATCAGCGCATATGCGCGGAATGGACTTGGACAGGCACCTCCTTTGAGCGTGGCATTTTCGTAGGCATTGGAGCTGACGGGGTTATAAGCAGTGTTGAGTTGAGTGAATCGAGTGATCACAATGTGAACCACGTAGATGGCATTCTTCTACCTGGTTTTGTGAATGCGCATTCACATGCCTTCCAACGGCTGCTCAGAGGCAAAGGAGAGGTCTACAGTAGCGCTAGTAAACACAACTCGTTCTGGGGATGGAGAGATGAGATGTATAACCTTGTGAATACCTTAGGTGCAAAGGAATTCAAGGCTGCATGTGTGCTTTGTTTCACTGAGATGCTAGATGCAGGCATAACCTGTGTAGGTGAATTCCACTACTTCCATCATGGGGACATGCCTTATCAATACGATTCCATAGTTCTCGAGGCAGCAAAAGAAGTAGGTATACGTATAGTATTGTTGAACGCGTACTATGAGTTCGCTGGATGTGGCAAGAAGGAGCTATCTGAGGCTCAGAAACGCTTTGAAACACATGACCTGGATGCGTATTGGAAGCAGTTGGACTCACTTTCTGACTATAAGCGTGGTGTTGTTGCGCACTCTATTCGAGCTGTAGATCCAGGTAAGTACCCTGACTACTTGTATTTCTTCATGAGTATTGTAGACTTTAGTATGGACCACGCAGTGATTGTTACAGTGAAATTCAAGGAATACCTATGGATATATATATACAGGTATCTGCAATTCGGCATGCATATAGATGTAGGTAGTGTTTTTTGTGCTCTATTCGGACTGAATTAAGATGAGTGCCTCTAGTACTTGTTGGTGTCTTGCGACTTGAAAATAAACTATGTAATGGGATTGACAGTGCTTATAAATGTTATATATATATGTATATATATATGTGTGTGAGAGAGAGAGAGAGAGTATGTTCTTGTCCAGTAGGCATGCGCATAACTACCGTAATCTATAGCCATTGCATGGCAGAAGTCTTGCATATCAATTTTGCAAGTTCTTGCTACTGTTCTAGTTATACACTCGATATGGCTTACGAGCTGTGAAGCCGTCTGCAATGTGAGTGAGAAGTTTTGAACTGTGTGGATTCACGTCCTCCGGTAGAGTTATAGTGCATGAGCGTATGGGTGTTTTTTTAATCTGTGTAGCTTAGTGATATCGTACGTACAGTATGTTTTTTGAAACGAATCAAGATATATAAGTAACGTGAATACTTTATCGATATACAATTCGGGATCATTCATGACGAATTGGTCCCGCGTATCGGTTCCAATCGCAGTCATACTTGAACCGCATATAAAGTGATCAATTGCCGGCAGAGTAGGATGTAGCACGCAAAGTACTACTATCACTCTTAACAGTTGGTTTTGGCTCACAGAGGACTGCCTATTAAAAGTTCTGTACCGATTTGAGAAGTCTGTGTTTACATATACGCTGAAGTAACAGTAGTGTATCAGCAGTTAGGTCTGACCACTGATTGGCAATGCGTATCCGAAACAGTCTCTGCACACCAATTGTTACTCCACAATTGAACGTTACCCAGTAATGCCTTCAGAGATATTCGAAAGGTGTGTGCATTTCCGCTTGTACAACTTTGTATCATACCTACACACAGCAACAAAAGTCTATCAACGAATTCCTCATACGACAATATTTATCACTCGCCCATACAGTGGAGTTGGGCCTTCTCGTCCGCGGCGCCAGAGACCGCAACCTGCCATTCCACATGCACTTAGAAGAACAGGTGGCTGAAATCGAACAGTGCAAAGCTTCCTTCGACAACAAGACACCCCTGCGCGTGCTACTGGATCTGGACATCAGCCTCGACCACGTGACCCTCGTCCACTGCACACACTCGGAAGACGCTGAGATGCAGGCATTTGTGGCCAGAGGAGGTATGGTGTGTGTATGTCCTTTGACAGAGGGAGCCCTAGCCGACGGACTCCCCAACCTGCAGCCCATGAGCGGGCAGATATGCCTGGGCACGGACTGCAACGCGCGCATCGACTTTCTGGAGGAGATGCGGTGGCTCGAGTACGGCCAGAGAGTTAAGACGAACAGACGGGGTGCTGTTTGTCACGTGGGTACCACGTGGGTACCGGATCTATCTGCGGAGCTGCTGAGATATGCCACAGAGATGGGGGCTAAGGCGCTTGGGGTGGATGCCGGGTGCATCGAGGTAGGTAAGTTGGCGGACTTTGTGGTGTTGAAGGTGGACTGTGAGAATGTGATGGAGATGCTGCCGACTGCGATATTCGGTGATGCGGCTGTGGGTGGTGTGTGTGTGGGTGGCAAGTGGGTGCGCGAGTACACCTCATCGTCTGCAACTGTATCTGCAGACAGTCGCGTACGGAAAGGCGTGACGGTTGACGTTGGTACCGGTTTTGTTAAGAACGGAAATAGCGGGACGCCGCAGAAGCGAGCTCGAGTAGAGCCGTGTGAAGAGGGTTCTCTAGACCAATCCGAAGCAGCGTGTGTGCGCCGGGTAATGGACGCTGGAGATGACGTGGTGGCGCTCGCTCGTTCATTGGTGGATATAAATAGCACATCTGGCAGCGAGCAGCACATGGCCGCGGCTGTGACGTCCTGGTTGGTCGCACGGGGGTGGAATGTGGCACAACAGGCAGTGGGCAGTAGGTACAATCTGCACTGCGTGCGTAACCATGCCAACGGAGAGGTGAACTCTGCCCCACCAAAGGTGTATATGAACACACACCTCGATGTGGTACCTCCATGGTTCCCCAGTACAGTAGACGACACCAACCTGTACGGCAGGGGTGCGTGTGACACCAAGTCGCTTATAGCTGCCATGCTCATTGCCGCACAGACACTCACAGAGACCAATCGCTCGGCTGTGGGTCTGTTGTTTGTGGTCAGTGAAGAAACTACGCACGAGGGCATGATCAAGGCCAACGAGTTAGGCATCAACCCGCAGTACCTGATAGTGGGCGAACCAACTGATGCCAAGGTGGTGCTGCTGCAAAAGGGTATACTGAAGTGCACGCTCACGGCCAAGGGAGTGGCGGCTCACTCCGGGTACCCGCACCTGGGACGTTCGGCTATAGACGACATGCTGGGTGTGTTGGGGGAGATCAGGGCGTACGCCTTCCCACAGAGCGAATCCCTGGGTGTGACCAATGTGAATGTAGGTAAGATCTCGGGTGGTCAAGCCGTCAATGCCTTGGCCGAAGAGTGCAGCGCTGAGCTGTTGTTCCGACTCATCAGTGCACCGGAGACTGTGCTAGAGGTGGTTGAAGGCGTATGCTCCAAGTATGCGGATGTCAGTGCGAAGGTGATCACCAAGAACGATCCCGTGGACATGACCTATGTCAATGACCTGATTACTGGGTTCGACTTTGGCACGGCGTGTTTCAATACAGACATCCCGTACTTCAACTTTGATGGCAAGGCTGTACTGTACGGCCACGGCTCTATCACCGATGCTCACTGCCCCCGCGAGTACATTGCGCTGAAGGATCTGAAGAGCTTGGTCCCTGCATACGTTGACCTGGTCAAACAACTGTCGGATAAGTGCTAGATACTCTGCTGCCACAAATGAGATGGGTGCTGGCACCTGTCACTCATGCTGGCTCCTTGCTTGTTAGAGTATCAGCATAATACCAATCATTCGTAACGCTCGCACATATATATACATATATATATATATATATATATTCATATAGTGTCCATGGTGGTGCTGTGGACGGGTATGCGGGTAACTGACTCGGGTAGTATAAATCCTTGCGGCGCGGCATATGGCTGAAGATTGAATTTGAGTTTACTTTGTACATAAGTGCCCTCGGAGTGGCTGATAGTTGTTAGAAATTATACATAGAGCCAGATTTCTTTCAGTAAACTTGCTTAGTAATATTAACTGACAACCCTCTGTGTATGCTTGGAAAGGACCCCAAAAGGAAGTTCGCAAATCAATTCGTAATTTAATCCGACCAATCTGTTCAATATTGTATAAGTCGTGGTACTTTATTGAAAGACTTTCACAGAAGTCAGTGCAGTGAACCCGTCCGCTTGCCTACCATACGCGCATACAAATAAGGAGACGGGCAATGCGTTGTATCATCTCCGGCATACGATGAATGTCATAGCCTTCTTAAAAAAGAACAGAAAGCGTAAAAACAGAATGTGTATGTATATAAATAAATCATAGTTGATATTTTCAAATTCAGGTACAAATAGTACTGCACCTGCTAAGTCAGTTCACTTAAACTGCTGACGATTTAATTTGTAGATGATCCCCCGGTACTAGCCTGTTTATATATCTGGATACTTGCCACTCATCACAGCCTCGTGAGACTATTATGTACAACCTGATTGTGGTTCATTGTGATTCAAGATATATAAACCGAGGTCACCCGAGGGTAGTTCCAGAAATTATGTATGTACGCCTATATACTACGGTAGAGTATGGACGTTAATATATGGCATTGCTTTTATGCATGGTCCTATGTGCAATTTTGTATTATATAGAATGCTTTTGATATAGAATATGATTCTATATGGTATTGTATATGGTTGCACCTGAAGTGGGCGTGTGAACTGTATGCATATACCTGGGTCTTGTGCCTCTCACTCTGTCTCACGTATGTATTATTGTTTAAACTAGGCACTACCTCGAGACCCGGTAGATCGTTTCCTTTATCGACACTTCCTACAAAGTTTTGCAACGACACTTCCTGCAACGTTTTGCAAAGCGCCTAAGTCTGTGGCTCTATATTCTTTACGTTTCCTCATACATCGTTTAATGCACGTCCCACCTTTAAATATAAATACGGTATTACGAGACGGTAGAGGTGCTCGTGGTCCTCGTGATAGCCTTGTTGGCTGTAAAACCCAAAAACCCTATATCCCAAAAATCCCTAAAATTTCAAAACTCTAAAAACCTCTCAGTTTTTAAACCGCTTATGCTCTCACATAGAATTCTATAACTTTCGTGTGACTGAATTTCAACTCGAGACTGTGGGAACGCTATGTGGGCTGCATCGTGGATCATGGATTCAAATTGAATTGACGTTAGGTGGGGCGGAGACGAAACGCTTATAGGCATACTTTGATATAGATGTGATTGACACTATCTTCACTCTGCTAACGAGAGACCGACCAAGCAGTCATTACAGTATACACTGTTATTCAAGCTTGAATGCGTGTTGTCGCATTTTGTTAACTGCTTAAGGTAGATATATACATCTGAACCGTAGAATATGCGTACAATCTATCTGAATGCCTGTTCCATGGTGTCAGCCATAACGCAATATATGACCTCAGTAATTTAACAATATTGTTCCTATTTGTACATCTCGGCGTAACATGATGAATAACTTGTACTGTAGTAAGTCTGTACATTTGCATATACAAAAGTTTTAGAATATGACTCTGAATGTATATATCTAATATATATATATATATATATATGTGTGTGTGTGTGTGTGTGTGTGTGTGTGTGTGTGTGTGTAGTGTGTATGTGTGTGTGTATGTATATGTATATGAATGTTTGTACGTGTGTGTGTATGCATGTGTGTATGTATGTATGCATGTATGTATATATATATGTGTGTGTGTGGGTGTGTGTGGGTGTGTGTGTGTGTGTGTGTGTGTGTGTGTGTGTGTGTGTGTGTGTGTATGTATATATATATATATATATAAATGTATATATAGGTTTGAATATTTGAGTTTTGCGATAATATATCAACACCCACTGTTCCCTTTCTACAGCCAATCATGAGTGATGATGAATCCAATGGCTCTGCGGCTGCTGATTTGGTCCACGACGGCAGTTCAGAGAGATATTCGCCAGAAGAGGACCTGCAAATGGCCCGCGCATGGGTGGAGGTCGCTACGAATCCTAAGTTTAAGTATGTACTGTATAAGTCCGTATTTCAAGTAGGTATGGTTGCCATGGAGACGAGGCACAAAGAGATTTTGTGTTTGATTTCTGTGAAGTTTTGGGACCAATGCGGATTTCTATGAGCCGGATTGGAAATCCTTTGTGTATATATCGTTGCGAACCGTTAGATCGTAAGCTGATGTAGAGGCTACATTAATAGACATGTACACGCGAATGTGTACTATTCATATCAGTAAGGCTGAAGAACTGGATTTTGCAGTTCACAATGCACGCCACGTATATCACCCGCCATCGCACCTTGACATTAGGCTGCTTGCCAATAGTCATTTATCCCGATTTGCACTGTCTGTTAGTACAAGTGGTACCATTGTGCTTGTAACTGATTGGAGAATGTGTACGAGTACCGCATATTGAGGTAAAGATGCTTTCTAATAGTCCATTGACCTGATTTGCACTGTCTAATATTACCATTGTGCTTGTATCTGATTAGAGTATGTGTACGAGTGCCGCATATTGAGATTAAGCTGCTTGCCAATAGTCCATTCGGCCCACGTATACGATCAACACTATATGTTCTGGCTATGGAACCAATGGAATAGAAATTGAAATTAATTAGTTAATTTGACCTACTGATACCTTATAACCCCTGCAGTTGTACTGGGTCGTTAGACTTCTGGGCCCATGTGTATGAGGAACATTTGGATCTGTGTTGGGAAAATCGTGTGCATGTCGAATCAAAAGGAGCGGAGGATGTCAGAATGCGCTTTGCCCACCAAGCGAAAGTATGGATATGACTATAACTGAGAGTGACAAAAGAAAATATGGATATGACTATATGTGAACGTGGCAAGCGAAAGTGTGGATATGACTATAATTGAGAGTGACAAGGGAAAGTAAAGATATGACCATATGTGAATGTGTCAAGTGAAAGAATGGATATGGCTATACCTGAGAGTGACAAGTGAAAGGATGGATATGACTATATGTGAATGTGTCAAGTGAAAGTATGGATATGACTATATCTGGAAGTGTCCTTACAAGTGTAAGCCGCTATCTGTGTGTACGTATGTGTGTGTGTGTGTGTCCTTGTGTGAGCGTATGTAGGTTTGTGCTCAAGCTGTGGGTCGAGCGGAGAAGGTATTGTCGTTGGTTATTTATATACATTACCAAATGGTTTCTGTGTACAGTATGATATGTACTTTATCTCAACTGTTGATGTTTTGGTCATGGGCTCGAAGGGGAAATGCAGAGATGTGCACACGCGCATGTGACTATGCACAACACATGCTAACCACACCATGCATAAAACGTACCTCTGGAGTGTCCTGAGCGGATATCACACCAAACAAAACCCAACAGCTGGATTAAAAACCCCTTATATCCTACAGACCTGCAACCACCACATGTCATTTCAAGCTATATCACGCATGCTGTTACATACATGATCCCTGTTCTTTGGGAGCATACCCCTCATGTGCACACAACCGGAACGACGTACGCTTTGTATGGTAGACCTATAGGAATACACGCATATTCGCGATCACTCCTTTGTCAACACGTATATTATGGTATGCTTGCGATTTTACATATATATACTAATATTGTTATATAGTTCACACATTTATACTATTATTGTTCTAAAGTTTACCTATTTACACTAATATTGTTCTATAGTTTACACATTTATACTATTATTGTTATATAGTTTACCTATCTACACTAATATTTTTATATAGTTTACACATTTATACTATTATTGTTCTATAGTTTACCTATCTACACTAATATTGTTATATAGTTTACACATTTATACTATTATTCTTGTATAGTTTACCTATCTACACTAATATTGTTATATAGTCTACACATCTGTAGTGATACTGTTATATAGTTTTACACAACTTTAGTGATATTGAACAACAGCCTTATAGACGTACGTATTCAAACTTGCGCTTATACACCCACCGCAGGAAACGGATATTATTCATTCTATGGCCATAGACGCTTCTAACTTGTCCAACCCTAGAAGCCAACCAATCCTGAAGTTCTACTTTAGATTTTAAAGTCTCAGAATCCCAAGTTTCTAAAATTACAAATTCTTAAAATTCTTAAAATCTTCGTCTTAGGAAATTGATCTGTTTCATGCGGTGTGGGAGAAGCTCAAGTCAATCGACAGCGATGGAGACTTTGACTTTGAAAGCGCAGAGATGTTGGAAAACCGTAAACGTCAAACAACGCGAATGTGGTGAGTTATATGTGCTTGCACGAACGTTTATATGGGATATGTTACAGATAGATAGCTCTCACGAAGTACTGTAAGAAATGGTAGTATGCTTACATTAGCGTGTGTGTAGTTACGTTACAGGTAGCTCTCTCGTAGTTTGTGTGTGTGTGTGTGTGTATGTATGTATGTATGTGGATATTGTTTACCTGTCATATGAGTGCTCCTACTGGTTCCTCGATGTGTGCAAGCACTGAAGTGAAGAGTTGTTACACGAAAAAGAAAGAGTCAATGCGCTGAAGTGAGATTGGCAACGACAGATATGTATATTAACTTCATACACATGTATATTATCTCCATATACACATGTATATTATATCCATACACATTTCTATATTAGCTGCATACACATGTATACTATCTCCATATACACATGTATATTATATCCATACACATTTCTATATTAGCTGCATACACATGTATATTATCTCCTTATACACATGTATATTATCTCCATATACACCTGTATATTAACTCCATACACATATGTATATCATCTCCATACACAATGTATATTAGCTCTACTTTGGTGCAGTTCAGGCGAAAATACCAATGAGATATATACAATACAAGCATATGTTACACCATGCACGTATCATGTGTTACACCATGCACGTATACAGTCGACATGCATGCCACATACGCCATCCGCACAATCTTAGTACATGTGTTGGCTTCTGTTGGTTGTACTATAACTATCATCAGGTTCGCCACCAAGCTGTTTAACTATCGCACCGAAATGTACAACGAGAAGATGGAGAGACTCGCCGCTGAGGGGAAGCATGCCGAAGCGGCAAAGCTGGAGAAACCCGAATTCCTTGTGCAAAATAACAACATAGAGGCGTCTGTGAGAGATGTATGGGAGCTGCTCATTGAGATTCCTGAATTCTTTGCGTTGTGTAAGTTTATACGTTTGTATGTCAATACGTTAATGATTTTATACGTATGTTTGTGTTTCTGTATGTCTGTGTGTTGTTATACCGAATTCGTTTGTTTATGTTTGCATATACGATTTCTGCTATGTATTTTGTCAGATCATATATATGTATGTGTGTGTGTTTGTGTGTGTGCGTGTGCGTGTATGCATCTATCTTTCTATGCATGCATGTATATATATGTGTGTGTGTGTGTGTATATATATATATGTGTGTGTGTATATATATATGTGTGTGTGTGTGTTTATTTATGTTTGTATCTATGTATGTATAGATTTATCTATGTAAGTATGTAATTATGTATATGTATGTATGTATATATATATATAATATTTAGTGTGTGTGCGTGTGTGCGTGTTTGTCCTCAGGTTCTATATCCCAGGTCACTATGGCTACCATTCAGAATCACAGTCGGACTACATCTCGTTAACCCTAAACCATAAAACCCAAGCCCACAACCCCTTTTCTCTTTTCCATGCAGTCACTGATATGGACTATGAAGGTGATTGGACGCCGACCAAATTCTTGTATGGCGATCACTCGGCTGATACAAGCGCACTAATAGAGGTACATTGTTTCACTCTCATTGATAAGCACTTGGTATAATCAACAATACCCCCTCGTGTCAGTAGCATAATCAATAACACCCCCTCGTGTCAGTAGCATCATCAACAACACCCCCTCATGTCAGTAGCATCATCAACAATACCCCCTCGTGTCAGTAGCTTAATCAACAACACCCCCTTGTGTCAGTAGCGTAATCAACAACACCCCCTCGTGTCAGTAGCATCATCAACAACACCCCCTCGTGTCAGTAGCATATTAACAACACCCCCTCGTGTCAGTAGCATCATCAACAACACCTCCTCGTGTCAGTAGTATGGTCCCTTGTCATTCAGCCACGCGATATAGACCCCATTTACATGGGCACTTCTGCGGGTGAACCTAGGGTAAGCAAAGGGTATGCTGGTGATAAGAGCTTGTTGCCGCATATACTCAGCAGATATAGCTACTCTGGTACAGGGAAATACTATACTGGCATGTGAGTGTAGCAGCGACACTGCAATACTCACATATTCCCCAAATACATGTGCGTCAATAGTGCTATGCAACTAGGGGTCTTTTTATGGGTCTGCTCGTTTATGTACAAGCACGCGACAACTGCAAGCGCATGTGAAAACGTTGTGTGAATCAGATCTTAGGATTAGATATATACAAATCTTAGCTGTTTCGCAACAAATCTCAGCTTTCTCATTTATTCACGTTCGTAGAGATACAGTCATGCACTTGCCATCGATTACTTTTACTGTCAGAGTGTCAACTACTTCACTCATGCATGCATGCATGTATGTCACGTGCGTGTACTTCTACTGACAGTGTCAACTGCTTCACTCATCCATTCATTCACTCATGTATGTATGTCACGTGTGTGTACTTCTACTGACAGTGTCAACTGCTTCACTCATCCATTCATTCACTCATGTATGTATGCCACGTGCGTGTACTTCTACTGCTTCAGTCATCCATTCATTCACTCATGTATGTATGTCACGTGTGTGTACTTCTATTGACAGAGTGTCCACTGCTTCATTCATCCATTTATTCACTCATGTATGTATGTCACGTGTGTGTACTTCTACTGGCAGAGTGTCCACTGCTTCACTCGTCCATATATTCACTCATGTATGTATGTCACATGTGTGTAGGAGAGTGGTGAGGACGACCAATTCACTTCACATAACAGTCGCGAACAGTCACAGGCAAGAGACGTTCGCTCCATCCACAACGACGGAATTGCTAACACACAACCCCACCCCACGCACAAAAACGGGACGGGCAGAGGACTGGCCAGTGCGGATGTAACGGGTATATATATATGTGTGTGTGTGTGTGTATTTATATATGTATTATATATGTACATGTATATGTTTGTATTTATATCTATAAATCTATATATTGTATATGTATGTGTGCGTGTGCGTGTGGTGTGCGTGTGTGTGTGTGCATTATATATACATTTTATTTATACCCTTAGTTATTACATTTGTACTCAAGTATGAAAAGCTGTATATTTAAGGTATGTTTGTGTTCGAGGACTGCATATATAGTCTGAAGTTGTGTTGCGTGTGTGCACGGATACATAACTACATGACTTGGACGCCTGCGAGAGAGATATACACTGGTACAATACTGACGGTGAGGATGTCTTTTAAACGAACTATACCGGCTATGGCACAGCCAGCTTAACGGGACAACTTAGTCAACATCACTACACAGCAGCTGAATGTAATTGTGTGTGTGAGTCTGTGTGTATCTGTTCGTACATATGAGAATCGCACTTAACATATCCAAGACGCTTTCATACTTACCTCGAGAACGCTGTAACTGTTTTGGTGTATATGTACGTGTGTATTTGTGCATAAGCATATGTATCCTATGTGTGTAGATATGTGTCAACGGTTATGCGAGGGAATATTTATGCACATCCCCATGCCTAGAGGCGCAATCGAACATGCATTGGAATATATACACGCACATCGCACCCTTGATACTGATATAATCGCTTGTATGCAAACCTGTCAAGTCCGTGAGGGCAACAAATCCTACGCATAATATATTGGTAAATGTATATATATATATATGTATGTATGTATGTATATATAGATATATAT